CTCCCTCTATCCATTTATGCGGTAGTTCTCATGGATTTCTGGCCGGATGTCGCAGACAAAGGCCAAGAGGTTATCCAAGACTTCATCCCTATTCTGCCGGAAGTAGGTCTGAAGGATGGTCATCTTCTCCTGGGTGTCCTTCTCTACTTCAGTGCTGGCAACTGCCACGGGATCCCAGAGCCGCAGCTTCCTTGGCCTTGAACTCCTTCTCCCTCTGCAGGCGGTACTGTTCAATCTCAGCCTGGGCTGCTTCCTTGGCCTGCTTCAACCTCCGGTTCTTTCGCTTGCAGGCCTCGGACACCTTCTCGGCAGCCCGTTTCTACGCCTGGAGCAGCTGCTGGATGCCCTGCGACTGACTGGCCATGGTTATGGTGACGGCGCCGGCGGAGGCGACTCCGAGGCGGCAGACGACGGCCTGCTCAGCCAAATCTCCTGGGCATCTTTTATAAGTTGTTTTTGCATATAGCAGAATCACAGTGTAGTATAATTCCCTTGTCTCTTAGGAATGAACGGCATTAAAACTATTATGTTCAAGTTTTCGGTGAATTGGGTCACTGGCAGTCAATGTCTTATCGGAATTCCTCAACTAAAATTTTAATGCACATCAGCCTTCATATGAGCCCGAGACCCTGACCACCCACAAAAGCATGACCTATCTTCTCTACACATTTTATTGACTCTACTGTGCTGACCAAAAGCCTGCTATGCGCAACTATGTCGTTTTTCATTCCATCAAGAGATAGCTAGTGGCTGCTCAGTAAATTATAATAATGAGCCATTTTAATTAGCAAGTGGTGAACAATTCTTAAATGAGTAAAATATAAGAATTCTAAAATTTAGACAAGAATATGGAACTAATTTTCTTATACTAAGTGAGTCAGGACACCAACCAATCATAGGCAATAAGGGCCAGAACATCATGTTATCAAATAAAAAATAAAATCTTAATTAGGTTTGAAGTTACTTTACAGTAAGTGATCCTGAGCTGGATTCTGTACTAGAGGGGAAACAAAAATCTGCTATTAAGGGCACTGAACCCACTGACAAAATTGGAATATGGACTGTGGAGAGGCAAAAGTAAGATATTAATGTTAAATTTCCTGAAGTTGATAAACTAAACTGTGGTTATAAAGGAGGATGCCCTTGTTCTTATGAAATACTCACTGAACTCTTTAGAGGCAAAAATGGCATGATGTATGCAATTTACCCTCAACTGGTTTTAAAAAATTTTACATACACATGTAGGAATATGTGTACATATGTGTACATACAATGATAACGATAAAGTAAACATGGAAAATACTCAGTTAGTGAATCTGGGTAAAAAATAATGGGAGCTTTCTGAGCTGTTCTTTTAACTTCCCAATAAAGTTTGAATTTATTTCCAAATAAAAGGCTAGCTTAACTGAAGAACATAGCCATCTTACTTACTCATGCCAAGCAACGGTACCTCCCACATCACACCTCACTCAATTCTTACAACCACGCGGAGAGGACTATTATTTTTCCCATTTTACAGGTGAGAAAACTCAGGCACAACAAGACAAAGTAACTGATTAAAGGACACATGGCTGGGACATGTCAAAGTTAGGACTCAAACCCAGGACTACCTGACTTGACAGCCTGACCCCCATGCAAAATACTTATTTAATGCAACAGAATAAAATTCCTAACAATGTGGAAATGAGAAATATAAAGCTGTCACCTGAGGATAGGAGTCTTCAAAGGCACGATCTGGAGTCATGTGCTTGATGACATCGGCCAAAACGGTGTTCACCTCTCGTTTCTAAGAGGGGAAAAAATCAGACCTGTATTAGACACCATATGACAGTTGCTGACCATTTTTCTGGTAAAAAGAACTAACATTTTCAGAGCATTGCACATACCTTCCAGGGAACAGTTTCAACTACTCTGCTACAAGTATTGTCAGAGGGAAAATTCCACCCATACCACAGCCCTAAAGACAGCTATGTCTGCACCAAGTCAGGACTGAAACACCGATCTCAAGGCTCTGGAGCACTACTGTCCCAGCTTTCCCTGAGCGCTGGTGAAACCCAACATGCCACGTTCTGCCCACCCATCCTGGGCCCCTCCACAGGTGCGGCGCAGAGCAGCGAGGCCCTGTGAGAAGAGCGCTGCTGGACCTTTACAGGCTGGGTGACCTGACGCCCACTGTACCGCACTTCTGTCAGCTGGATTGGGGCCAGCCAACTACAGCCTAAACCCACCCAGGTGCCTGTTTTCATTCAGCCCAGGAGCAAAGAATGATTCTTACATTCACACTAAAAGAATAATATTTGGCGACAAGGAAAATTATATGAGCTTCAAATTTCAGAGTGCATTAAGTGAAACTTACTAGAACACAGTCACACTCACTCATATATGGCCTACGGCTGCTTTATGTACAGGGCCAGTGATGGACACGTGTATCATAACAGAGATCACATGGTCCACAGAGTCTCAAATACAGGAATAGTGGCCTTCTACAGAGAAAGCAAGCTGATGCCCGGTCTGTATAACTGGAACAGTGAAGTTTACGACAAGGTCAATATGAAGCTGTGCCACGTAGAGGTCAAACGCCTGGCACACACAGACACCATCTCAATAGCTGCCAGAATGTACTCGTTAATGCTCATTAAACTCCCCAGCATGGACATCATCATCCCCATTTTACAGATGAGGAAGTTAAGGCTCAGAGAAGTTAAATGGCTTAGCCAGTGTCACAGCACTAAAAAAAAATCTGACAGTGGCACTGTAAGGAACCAAAGCTTCTTAGAGAAAGGGCTGAGTCCAAATGTGAGATAAGAAAGCACAAGGGAGGCTGGGGCACCTTATATAGAAAGCAAAGAAGGTATCAAGGACTACAGAGAATATGTCAGGACTCAGAAGCCAACCTAATAAAGCACTCACTGGATAAAGGTGGGACCACTGAACATCAGTAAGAATAATACAACTGCAAAGATTGATACACAGCAAATGTATTTCAACCCAAGAGTCCCTAAAGATACCAACAGCAACTACTACTAACTGGCCACCTTTGGGGATGCTAAGGGATTGACTCATTCTAAAAACTAGTAAGTAACAAGGACAAAAATGAGCATCTTGCCTTTCTGTACAAACTGTACCTCAGATCAGAGGGAAAATTCCACCCATACCACAGCCCTAAAGACAGCTATGTCTGCACCAAGTCAGGACTGAAACACCGATCTCAAGGCTCTGGAGCACTACTGTCCCAGCTTTCCCTGAGCGCTGGTGAAACCCAACATGCCACGTTCTGCCCACCCATCCTGGGCCCCTCCACAGGTGCGGCGCAGAGCAGCGAGGCCCTGTGAGAAGAGCGCTGCTGGACCTTTACAGGCTGGGTGACCTGACGCCCACTGTACCGCACTTCTGTCAGCTGGATTGGGGCCAGCCAACTACAGCCTAAACCCACCCAGGTGCCTGTTTTCATTCAGCCCAGGAGCAAAGAATGATTCTTACATTCACACTAAAAGAATAATATTTGGCGACAAGGAAAATTATATGAGCTTCAAATTTCAGAGTGCATAAGTGAAACTTACTAGAACACAGTCACACTCACTCATATATGGCCTACGGCTGCTTTATGTACAGGGCCAGTGATGGACACATGTATCATAACAGAGATCACATGGTCCACAGAGTCTCAAATACAGGAATAGTGGCCTTCTACAGAGAAAGCAAGCTGATGCCCGGTCTGTATAACTGGAACAGTGAAGTTTACGACAAGGTCAATATGAAGCTGTGCCACGTAGAGGTCAAACGCCTGGCACACACAGACACCATCTCAATAGCTGCCAGAATGTACTCGTTAATGCTCATTAAACTCCCCAGCATGGACATCATCATCCCCATTTTACAGATGAGGAAGTTAAGGCTCAGAGAAGTTAAATGGCTTAGCCAGTGTCACAGCACTAAAAAAAAATCTGACAGTGGCACTGTAAGGAACCAAAGCTTCTTAGAGAAAGGGCTGAGTCCAAATGTGAGATAAGAAAGCACAAGGGAGGCTGGGGCACCTTATATAGAAAGCAAAGAAGGTATCAAGGACTACAGAGAATATGTCAGGACTCAGAAGCCAACCTAATAAAGCACTCACTGGATAAAGGTGGGACCACTGAACATCAGTAAGAATAATACAACTGCAAAGATTGATACACAGCAAATGTATTTCAACCCAAGAGTCCCTAAAGATACCAACAGCAACTACTACTAACTGGCCACCTTTGGGGATGCTAAGGGATTGACTCATTCTAAAAACTAGTAAGTAACAAGGACAAAAATGAGCATCTTGCCTTTCTGTACAAACTGTACCTCAGGGTAACCAAATATGTGGTGTGAAAAGTTTCTCTTTATATCAACACAAATATTCCAGCTAACAAATACAGGAGAAATGATAATAACTCTGAAAATCACTATTTTGTAACCCATGATAAACCATGAGATGAATGCACTTTGGTGGCCGCTCATGTCATGGAGAAACAACCAGATACCATGAGCCTTCCAGGAGAAGCACCACACCACACCCATGGTGTCAGAAAGTCGAATACAAGGCTGATGAAGTCTCCTGTCTCCAGAACTAACAGCGATTTACAGGAAACACTGGAGGCAGAAGAACATGTTAACACCACCACAGGGATGCCTCTGGCCAGTCCAGACTGGGAAACTCTATAGGACAAAGGACCCGATTTCTTCAGTAAATAAATAACAGAGTAAAAAAGGAGAGGAACAAGGAGGGAAGGAAAGAAAGAGGGGAAGAGAGGGAACTTAAAGGTTAAAAGGACTCAAATTAAAGTGTTTTACAACGTATGTGCTATCCCATTTTAATCCTGACTGAACAAACAAAGTGTGAAAAACTTATGAGACAGCTAGGGGAAATCTGAATATTTATCAAGTTTCAGTGGTATTAAAAGATTATTAGTTTTCTCGGTTAGGATAATATATTAAGATTTTGTTTCAGAAAAGGAAATTCTACATCAGAGCTATACACTGAGATAGTGACTGGTAAAACACGATGATTAAGCTGTGCTTCAAAATAATCCAGGGATGGGGAGAAGGGGTAAGGCACAAATGAAACAACATTTGTCATAAGCTGGTCACTTCTGGGTAATGAGTACAACGGACATCATATGCTAGAAGTTTCAATAAAACAAAAACTGGATGAAAGAAAGAAAATTAACAGACTAACATTTACAATAATGCTCAAAATGAGGCAAAACCCATTTCTGGAGTTAAGAGGCCAGATGGTGTTTATGTTCAACTTCCAAGGTAATGACTGAGAGGGAAGTATGGGGGGCTTCAGGTTGGGGTGGGGATGGGGAGTTATTTCTTTATCTGGACCATGATTCCCTGGGTGTATCAGTGAAGATTCACTGAACAGCAAACTTAACTGTTTGTGTAAGCTTTCTTCATGTAGATTAAACTTCAATATTTTTTAAAGTTGATTAAAATAAACACCTGGCAACAGGATTTGAAACCACTTCTACCTGCTTCTAAAGTTTCTGCTCATTGACAAGACCACTATCTCCCAAACTGGGCTTCTAGTCTGGGCCTAGGGAAAGAAGCATCTTTGTTTGCTTAGAAAAAAATTAAATTACAAGCAAATCAAATATGTTTGGGAAACACTGCTGACTAGACTTCCATGGAAAGTCACAAAGAACGTTAACAATAAGCATCTAAGGTGTATTGTGGTGAAAAAAACAACCTGCTTAACTCTGTAAAAGCAGTATTTCCCAAACTTACATGTAAGTGTGAAGCTTTTTGTTATAGTTCACATATTAATGCCTCATTACATTATACTATAAAGGGTGCAATTTTCATAAATTAAGGATAATTAGCATCACAAAATTCATAAAGGTCTATGCTAGACTTATTCACAATTATGAACATGAAAAAAATACACAGCACACAATACCACAAAGACAAAACCACAGTACACATACCGTGAAATGCTTGCAGGTGTACTCCACCCACACTTCAGCACAATTAATGTAGTCCTACAAAGAAAAAGCAAAAACGGCTTTACAATTGACCTTATGGCAAAACTCATAATGCACAAATTCCTTAAGGGCTCTGAAACTACTGATAGTGATTTCGAGAGTCATGTACAGAAAACTCTGGCCCATTAATAAATTCTACCCCTGAGACGTGAGATGAAAAAATATAAATTGCCTGAAACTAATTTAGACTTTCATTCCAGAATCACTACTTGGGCCAAAACAGAAATCTGGGAAGCTCTGCCCCGCCTGGAGAACGGGAGAGCCGCGGGGTAGCAGAGAGAACAGTCCTCATCACGTCTCAAGGACCATGGATCTGGTTCAAAATTCAAGCATTGTTTAAGATGTGACACTTGAATGTCCTGAGAAAAAACAGGTCTCCTGCCTTTAAAAAGAAACCATTTGTCCTAGAAAGGGGAGATGCATATATGTTGTAAAAGGGTTAAGAAAGCACAAAGGTTTTAGGTAAGAAAGGATGTGTTAGATTCAAATAGAAAAGATAATGAGTTGGCTATTAGTAAGCCAACTTAGTAAGGCTGTCTGCTCCAGAAAACATGCAAATGGGAAAAAAGGGCCAAGGAAAAATAGAATCCGGACTTCCCTGGCAGTCCAGTGGTTAAGACTCCATGCTCCCAATGCAGGGGCCATGCGTTCAAACTCTGGTCAAGGAACTAAGATCCCACGTGTCACAAGGCGCGGCCAAGAAAAAACAAAAGAAAAATAGAATCTGCGAGGATACCTCTTCTGTTCTGACACTCCACAGAAAAGAAAAAAGAAAGGGGAGGGGAGAAAACACTCTCATTCACACAAGAAAAGGCAGGAATATTCTAAGGTCTAACGGGAATGCTAAGAAGGACTTAATGAGGAGAGTATGAAGTTAAAGACTGGAGAAAATTGTTAATATGAGCTTTTGATGCAAGGTTGCTTTGAAGTCCTGAAGTACAGGAACCAGAGGCCCAGAGGTTTTTAACTTAAATATCCTAAATAAGCTGTTTTCATTAGCCAATCAGTTAGGTTAAACAGAGAATTTCAATAGCTGGAGTTTAGCAAGGATTCTGCTGAACATAGGTATAGGAAATGGCAACCCACTCCAGTATTCTCGCCTGGAAAATTCCACGAACAAAAGAGCCTGGCAGGCTATACTCCATGGGGCAGAGTCAGGCATAACTGACTGAGCACAACATAGGTAGACAATTTTGTAAATAAGCTCCTAATTTTCCTAAATTATACCACTGTTCTTAATGCACTTTCATAAATGTGGTGATTAACAAGGGCTTATTTTAAAATGTATTTATTTGACCAGGTCTTAGTTGCAGCATGTGGATCTTTTAATTGCAGAATGTGGGATTTAGTTCCCTGACCAAGGATCAAACCTGGGCCCCCCACACTGGGAGCACACAGTCTTAGCCACTGGACCACCAGCAAAGTCCCCAGCAAGGGTTTATAACTGGGTTCATTTCAATAGTTCCTTCTCAATAAATGATCCAATCAAATGCTACATCCACATTCACTTACTCGTTGTGGTACAGTCTGAATGTCTGTATCCCCCTAGAACGTATATGTTGAACTCCTAGCCCTTGATGCGATGATATTAGGAGGTGAGGGTTTTGGGCAGTGGTTAGGTCATGAGGGTGGAGACCCTGTGAATGGAATTAGTGCCCTTGTAAAAGAGACCCTAGAGCGGTCTTCCTCCCTCTTTCTGCCGTGTGAGAAGGAGAAGCTGGCTGGCAGTCTGCATCCTGGAAGAGGATCACCAGAACCCAACCATGCTTTGTTGGTGTTGATGCGTGCATCATATCTGACTCTTTGCAACTACATGGACTGTAGCCCACCAGGTTCCTCTGTCCACAGAATTTCCCAGGCAACAATCCTGGAGTGGCTTGCCATTTCCTTCTCCAACCAACCATGCTGGCCCCCTGATTTTGTACTTCTAGCCTCCAGATCTGTGAGAAATAAATTTCTATTGTATAGAAGCCACACAGTCTATTACATGCTGTTACAACAAGCTAAATGAACAAGGACGTAGGACAGAGTGCAGAGTACGGTGAAGTTTGGCCACAAAGACAGCCAATACCATCCCCTAATGGCATCCACATAAATTGCTGGCATGCTTCCTAAAAGGAAGTGAGGCATAAAACCCAAACATGCAAAATGATGACCAGCACTACATGCATTACAGCAACTAAAATCAGTTGGTTCACCTTCCTAAGACTTTCCAAGTCAGAAGTATGGGAAGAAAGATGCTTCCGCTGTCCATTCAAGGGATGGAAACTGGAACTCCCTTTTGCTAATTACCGGTTTAACTGCTGATCTTCAATTTAGAGTTATCTCAATAAACTGTTTTTTTCCAATCCAAATACAACTTGACCTTTAAACAACACAGGATTTAGGGACACTGACCCTCTATGCAGTCAAAAATTATGTATAACTTATAGTCAGCCTTCTGTATCCATGATTCCTCTGTATTTGAAATGTCGCTTCTGTGGATTTAACCAACCAAAGGTTATATAGTGTCAAGGTATTTACCACTGAAAAAAAAAATCCACATGTAAGTGGATCTGTGCAGTCCAAACCCATGTTGTTCAAGGGTCAACTATGCTATAGACTGCTGCACTTAGAATGCTCTTTGCAGAGCTATGGGTCTTTTCAAGTTTCAAGTATTCATAATTTTATACTTCTTGCTAATCTAAGGCCACAAGAGTAAGACATAATAGGGACACAAAAATCAAGAAATACATCTTTGAAGTTTTAAGTTCTCCATTATAGGTTGTCAACAATACAATTAAAAGAAGATTTCTTTTAAAAAAAATAAGGATGATTAGTTGAAAGAGAAATTTTTTAAAAGAAAGAGCATACTACATTACTCAGGCACAAAGCAGTCAATACAAGGTGTAAATTGTCACCCACCTGTGGATTCTTCAATTTAGTGATAACTTTCCAAGCTTCATTGAGAATCTGAAGTCGATCACTCTCAGGAGGATCAGCCAAGGCCAAGTTTAACCCCAGGGAGCGAAAAAGGAGATGCTAAGAAATATAGCAAACATTACCATCTCAGAGATTCAAAAACAGAGTAACTTAAGAAAATAAAGGAAAAGGCTGTCATAGTTGGCCTATCTCAAGGTTAATATTCCAACAACCATTTTCTGAAGTTCTACCACAAACTTAAGCAAGTTAGACTGAGAAGGTCGGAACAAAGAGCTGGCTCTGCATACTGGTAAAATCTGTGGGCCATACTATTCTCCTAGACAAAGTTTTTCATAATTAATGGATGATGATATAGTTTTAAAGATGTAAGACCAAAGTTTTTCCTAAATATTTCACAGTGAGCTAACAGGATAGATTTAGGACTCACAGAGGCCTGACTCTCAGCAATTACACGTGTCTCACAATTCCAGTCGCTAACTTGCCTTCCTCTGCACTCTTCAGAAACATAGCCTTCACCTGTTTTCCTGTTGGCCCAAGCTGTCCCCGACACCAGACTCCCTCTGCCTGGAGAGCTGTCAGGCAAACACCGCCTATCTGTTCTCCACCAAGCATTAAGTCAAGAGCCTACCTTGGGGAAACCGGACTCGTCACACTCCTTAATCATGCCAATAAAATCCATGGACCTTGTAGCAATGAACTCGGCCCGGAAAGCCGACATCACAGAGTTCAACAGCAAGGCACTGCAAGACACATATGCCCCAATGTTTTTTTCCAATCCAAATACAACTTGACCTTTAAACAACACAGGATTTAGGGACACTGACCCTCTATGCAGTCAAAAATTATGTATAACTTATAGTCAGCCTTCTGTATCCATGATTCCTCTGTATTTGAAATGTCGCTTCTGTGGATTTAACCAACCAAAGGTTATATAGTGTCAAGGTATTTACCACTGAAAAAAAAAATCCACATGTAAGTGGATCTGTGCAGTCCAAACCCATGTTGTTCAAGGGTCAACTATGCTATAGACTGCTGCACTTAGAATGCTCTTTGCAGAGCTATGGGTCTTTTCAAGTTTCAAGTATTCATAATTTTATACTTCTTGCTAATCTAAGGCCACAAGAGTAAGACATAATAGGGACACAAAAATCAAGAAATACATCTTTGAAGTTTTAAGTTCTCCATTATAGGTTGACAAACAATACAATTAAAAGAAGATTTCTTTTAAAAAAAATAAGGATGATTAGTTGAAAGAGAAATTTTTTAAAAGAAAGAGCATACTACATTACTTGGGCACAAAGCAGTCAATACAAGGTGTAAACTGTCACCCACCTGTGGATTCTTCAATTTAGTGATAACTTTCCAAGCTTCATTGAGAATCTGAAGTCGATCACTCTCAGGAGGATCAGCCAAGGCCAAGTTTAACCCCAGGGAGCGAAAAAGGAGATGCTAAGAAATATAGCAAACATTACCATCTCAGAGATTCAAAAACAGAGTAACTTAAGAAAATAAAGGAAAAGGCTGTCATAGTTGGCCTATCTCAAGGTTAATATTCCAACAACCATTTTCTGAAGTTCTACCACAAACTTAAGCAAGTTAGACTGAGAAGGTCGGAACAAAGAGCTGGCTCTGCATACTGGTAAAATCTGTGGGCCATACTATTCTCCTAGACAAAGTTTTTCATAATTAATGGATGATGATATAGTTTTAAAGATGTAAGACCAAAGTTTTTCCTAAATATTTCACAGTGAGCTAACAGGATAGATTTAGGACTCACAGAGGCCTGACTCTCAGCAATTACACGTGTCTCACAATTCCAGTCGCTAACTTGCCTTCCTCTGCACTCTTCAGAAACATAGCCTTCACCTGTTTTCCTGTTGGCCCAAGCTGTCCCCGACACCAGACTCCCTCTGCCTGGAGAGCTGTCAGGCAAACACCGCCTATCTGTTCTCCACCAAGCATTAAGTCAAGAGCCTACCTTGGGGAAACCGGACTCGTCACACTCCTTAATCATGCCAATAAAATCCATGGACCTTGTAGCAATGAACTCGGCCCGGAAAGCCGACATCACAGAGTTCAACAGCAAGGCACTGCAAGACACATATGCCCCACGTCAGCAGAGCTTCCCTTTAAGAAAGTCGCTTTCATTTTAGGATGTATGCTGTTAGAAAAGATGACTGACAGCCCTTTAATGGTAGCACTGGGGGAAAAAAAAAAGATTGCAGTAAAAAGGCAACCTCTAGAGACTAACACAGTGTTTTGTGCATATTCAGAGCTTGATAAATATTCAATTGGCTGGAAGAATGGAAGATGGGTGGATGGATGAGTCAATGGGTGCACAGATCAATGGATGGATAGTAAATAAGAAAGTAATCAAATCCATTTAAACAGAAGAAATGGAGGGAGCCTTCAGTGCACTAATAAAATTAAACATTAAATAACAATACTGATCCAGGCTGCAAATATATATCCACGTCTCTTATGAAAAGCACCGTTCCAGGACCTAGGGACATAGCGGCGAACAAACCCCACTCCAGGCTCCTCACCTACCACTGAAAGGAAAGTGGAGGAGAAACCTCTTATGCCTAGAAGACAAGAATTCCAGTTTATCCTGACTTTATCACTTATCACAACCCCACAGGGAAAGCACTGCTATTATACCCATTTTACAGATGAAGAGATGGAGACACAGAAAGGTCAAAGCAAGTGACCCAAGGTCATACAGCTAAGAAAGAGTGGAGCCAAAATCAGAAGCCAGGCAACTGGACTGCAGCATTCGTGAGGTCCGGTGCTGTCCTGCCGCCCTGTAGGCCTCTTACCCATGCAAGCATGCCAAGCTCAAAAGAAAAGCAACTGACTCCATTTTCAAACACAGGCTTTATGAATTTCAAAATACTTACTTGTTTCCTAGCTTCTTACATCTCTCCATCATCTCTGTTAACAGAGCCTAAGTAAAAAAAAAATAATAAAAACCATCAAGTTGGGGGATCTAAAGTAACACTTCTCATGAGCAGATTTGCAAAGTAACACTTTAAAATAAATGTGGTCATTTACATACCCTTTTCTATAATTCTCAGTGCTTGGCAGGATGGGGAGGATGGAGGAGAAAACAAGTTCATTCTTATGGCATTTAGTATAATGGGTAAGAGCTACGGCCCTGGTCTCACACACTGCTGGGTTCAAATCCAGTCTCACCAACTACTTTTCTTCACCTGTAGGCAGATGATACAGCTGGTACCATGTCACCTGCAGATTCCTACAGGACAATGAGAGTGGTACCACCCATGCTCTAGGGTACCAGTGAGAATGAAATTTGCTTTACTCCCCACCTCTCCTAAGACCCCCCTGGAGAAGGGAACAGCTTATCCACTCCAATATTCTGGCCTGGAGAATTCCATGGACTGTATAGTCCATGGGGTTGCAGAGTGTCAGACACAACTGAGCAATTTTCACTTTCACTTTCCACCTCTTCTAGACCCCCAGTGTTCCTCCCCTTTCATGAGGTGTCTGTAGAATTCTAAGTAAAATGAATAACAAACACTAGGCCAGTACTTGGTGCTGGCCAGTCACAGGGAGAAGCACTTGACAGTCATGCTCCCACTTCTCACAACCCCTATGGGGCAGGCTCTCAATTCTCCCATTTCACAGATGAGAAACCAAGCTACTGAACAGTGATGTGGCTGGGCCACGATGACATGGCTAGTTATGGTGGGTCTGACGTGAGCTGGGAAGTCTGGCATCAAAGGCCATGCTCTTCACTACAATTCCTCTCAAGTGCATTTTGAAGCATTTTTTTCCCCCAAAAGAAAATAAATGTTTTACTCATTGGAATACTATTAATGGCTTTAGAGCTATCTTAAGACAATTATGCATCTTTAAAAGAGCTCTTGTTGTTAAGAAAATCAATAGAAAAAAGTATCCCATAGCGCAGTGGTTTGGGGAAAGTTTCAAACGGCACAGACAAGGTCAATCCCAAGACAAAAGAGCTGATAACAACAGCCTTGACACTGAGCACTCACCAGGCACCCAGCATGAGGCACCGGGCTTCTCTGGTAGCTCAATGGGTAAAGAATCCGCCTGCAATGCAGGAGACCCCAGTTCAATTCCTGGGTTGGGAAGATCCCCTGGAGAAGGGGTAGGTTACCCAATCCAATATTCTGGCCTGGAGAATTCCATGGACTGTATATAGTCCAGGGGGTCACAAACAGTCAGACACAACTGAGCGACTTTCACTTTCACTGGAGTGCTTTGTATGTCTTTTCCCATTCACTCTTCCCAATGGCCTTTGAGACCGTCTGTTATCCCTACTTTACAGATGAGGAAGCCAAAACTCAGCTGGGTTGAGCCACTTCCTACTAAGTGGCAGAAATGAGATTTGTACCTAAGTCTGGCCTGGACATCAAAAAATAAAATGAGTCTTTTTTAGTGCAATTCCACTCTTTTCAGCTGTGTCCTTCCATGTCCTGGGTGTCCCTGAATAATTAAAGTGACTGAACACCCCAGAACCCTTATTTTATTCAGATTTCTGTCTTTGTCCAACAAAAATCAGGTTGGGTTCTGTTCTGAAGTAAATTATGTTCCCTCCATTCATATGTTGAAGCCCTAACCTGCAATGTGACTGTTCGGAGATAAGGTTTTTAAAGGAGTTAATTAATACCAGGTGAGGTCATGAGGGTGCAGCCCTAATCCAATAGGACTGCTGTCCTTACAAGAAGAGGAAGAGAGGCTAGGGACACACATGCACAGATGAGAAGATCAGGGGAAAACACAGCGAGAAGATGGGTCTGCAAGCCAAGGAGAAAAGTCTAGCCACAAACCAACCCAGCTGGCACCTTGATCTTGGACTTTCCAGCCTCCAAAACTCTGAGAAGATAAATTTCTGTTGTTTAAAGACACTCAGTCTATCATGGAAGCCTGCTAATATCTGAATCCACTAACTCCAAGTTAATGGTGTTAGAAGGTGGAGCCTTTGGAGGTGATTAGGTCTTAAGGGTGGAGCCCTCATAAATGCAATCAGTGCCCTTATAAAAGCAGCCCAAGAAAGCTCTCTTGTCCCTTCTGCCATGTGAGCACACAGCCAGAAGATAAATCTATGAACCAGGAAGTAGGCCCTCACCAGATACTGTATCTGAGAGCATCTTGATCTTAGACTTCCAGCCTCCAGAACCATTAGAAATAAATTTCTGTTATTTATAATCTACCCACTATGTGGTGTTTCGCTACAGTTGCCTGAATATACTAAGCAAACTAACACAGGCCCAAGTCAATCACGGTGGTCTCATTCCCCTTGCAAATGGTAGGTTTAGACAGGGCACATGACTGATTTCCTGCCACTGAGATGGGGGCTTAGAGGAAAATTTTCTTGTTCTTTTTTAATTCACAATTAGATATAGGTTATTTTTATAGTTTTTTTTTTTGTGTGTACAGATTTGCTTAACAATTACTCAATTTCTAAAAATATGGAATGCTTCATCCATTTGCATGTCATCCTGCGCAGGGGCCATGCTAATCTTCTCTGTATCATTCCAATTTTAGTATATGTACTGCCGAAGCGAGCACCTCTTATTCTTAAATAGGAACTGGAGGAACTGAAGACTCCCCATCTTCCTGCCTCTGGATTCTGCCATGTCTGGGCATGATGCCTGCAATGACTACAGCCACTTTGCTGCTATCTGGTGATGGCAGGGCAGAGAGAACAGAACTTGCCTGGTCCAGGGCCTTCATTTGTTATTCAAGAGAACAGACTGAGTTATCTTTGTAGGGCCAGTTAAGTGTTCCTTGCAGCCAAAGCATCCCAACTGATGATAAGATTGACAATGTCACAAAAGGCCTAACCCATTCACAGGGGATTCAATATTTGAAAAGTCATTCATGAAGAACAGTATCAAAGTGGTTCCTGGCAAGGTTGAAAAAGAGATACTCTTATAACCATCACACTGATACTCCTCAAAACACATAAATAATCACTCATTCAACACCTGCCTGTGAAGCAATAGCAATGTTATTGCTATTGTTCAGTCACTAAGTTGTGTCCAACTCTTTGCAACCCCATGGACTGCAGCACACAAGGCTTCCCTGTTCTTCATCATTTCCCAGAGTTTGCTCAAATTCATGTTCATCACATCAGTGATGCCATCCAACCATCTCATCCTCTGTTGTCCCCTTCTCCTCCTGCCCTCAATCTTTTCCAGCATCAGGGTCTCTGACAATAAGCCATTATTCTAGACACTGGGAATAGGGCTGTGAGGAAATCAAGACAGAAATCCATGCCCTTGGGCAGCTTATTATCTCATACACACACATGTGCACACATGCACACACACACACATACACACACGAATGAGAAAACCTTGGTCCAGCACTTCTGAAAAGACAAAACAGGACAAATGCTAACATATGGACAAAATGTTCTGGCCATTAAGACAAATGCCTTAAAAGCTCTCTTTTCACAGGAGATGAACACATTAAAAATGCATCCAAGAATATAACTTAAAAAAGGCTGCATTGTCATTACCCTAGTGTCCAAAGAGCCAAATGGTTATAGACCCCAGGAAGATCTATTAGCGGTTATTAATTTTTTTTTTCCAGAGAAGTGACAGGATTGACTACTTTTGGCAAGAACAAGAGGAACAACAGTTCAAACCAGTGCGAGATCGAAACAAGCCTCGTGTTGGCTGAGATTAAAAACACTGAAAAACTTGCAGCTCAGAATATATATTTACAGACACATCAGAACTTGAACTTTCATTAGGACCTTACACTTATTTGGTTGTATATTTGATTTTTATAAAAATTATAAAAATGAGAAGTGCCTTTGGACAGAAGTGCAAACGATACAGTCATGTATCAAATTAAATCAGCATGCCCTCACTCCCAACGCCCTCTTCATAAGGATCTTCAGTGTCAACATTTGGTGTCTAATCTTTCAAGGCCTCTGTCTATATTCTATGAATATATAGCTTTTGTTGTAGAAGACTTCTGTTTTACAAACATGGATACTCACTATATGGACTAGCAATATGGAGAGACAATTTGCCTTTTTTGCTCAAGAATGCCATGGGTCTCCCTCCTCCCATGTTAGTACTCAGAATGCCCGAGGAATTCACACCATGTTTATAATGTTATTTTTCAAACTGCTCCAAATTGATGAAGTTTTTGAAATGCTTTATTTGTAATCAACTATAGACTCATGAGAAACTGCAAGAATAGTACAGGTGCTGGTTACCCATCACTAAGCTTCCCTGATGGTGACATCTTACATAGCTATAGTGTATTGTCAAAGTTGAGAAACTGACATTGCTGCTGCTGCTGCTAAGTCACTTTAGTCGTGTCCGACTCTGTGCGACCCCATAGATGGCAGCCCACCAGACTCTCCCGTCCCTGGGATTCTCCAGGCAAGAATACTGGAGTGGGCTGCCACTTCCTTCTCCAATGCTTGAAAGTGAAAAGTGAAAGTGAAGCCGCTCAGTCGTGTCTGACTCTTAGCAACCCCATGGACTGCAGCCCACCAGGCTCCTCCCATGGGATTTTCCAGGCAAGAGTACTGGAGTGGGGTGCCATTGCCTTCTCCAGAGAAACTGATATTGGTATAATATTAATATAATTAACTAGACTGTTTCACCAGATTGTTCATGTACCTTTTTGGGGAAGGGGGGGGAGAAGGATACATCTTTGTGATATTTCATTAACATATTTCGCTTTGCATAGCCACCATATCTAAAGTTGTCTCCAGATTAGGGTTGTTCACCCACTACAGAAGTACAGGAAAAGAAAAAAGTTGGGTCAATAACACATTTCTGTTTTCTAACAGGGGAGGAACTTGTGGTTAGAACTCTGCACTTCCAACTGCAGGGGCTATAAGTTTGATCCCTGATCTGGGAACTAGGATCCCACATGCCACAACTCAGCAAAAAAGAAAATAATAACAAATAATTAAAATAATCTTGA